GCTGGTGCTATCTGACAGTGTTCACAAGATTTTCAGTGACTCAGTATTAGGAAATAGTCTGTCTCCCCTTTTTTGTAGTCTTTTTAGTCCAAAAATTCATCTGAAACCTTTCCACTATAGGTGATCTTTCAGGTATTTAAAATGCTGGTGGCATACCTGCCAGAATCATAGCAACATGCAGACCACCACAGACTGGTCAACTGATAGACAAGTCCTGGGCTCCCAACCTTGTTATTGTTAAGTGCCATTGAGTCGATTCTGACCCATAGTGACCCTGTATAGGATTTCCAAGGAGAAGCTGGGGAGCTTGAACCACCGACTTTGCAGTTCAAATGACTTTGCAGACTGGTGCAGTAACCCACAGTGCCACCCCAGGACTCCATGGGTGATCCTACTGGTTCTTAACCTGTAAGTCACTGCGTTATTACAGAATGACAGCTGAGTGATAGTTTCTGTAGCACAGGCTTGTTTTGTAACCAGTGGAGAGCTTGGTCATGATTACTTGCCAGGTTTGTGGCTAGCAGTTGAAAGGTTTGTAGTTCAGATTCACTCTGAAGCATTTGGGAGACGGAAATGGCACACTGCTTCCAAAAGTTTACAACCTATCTGCTCAAATAAGATATTCCTTTACCCTAGTGAATTTTCTGTTTTAGTGACTGCTGTTTTCATGGCACAAAAAGTATCCTTTTAGTTTTTAAGAGCAAGACCAGTGTGTCATAGAGGGAACTTCTCTGAAAGTATTTAAGATTGCAGGAGAGGATTAAACATGTTTTCTCTAGAAGAAACCTACACGTGTATGAACTGGAGCTTTAGTAGCAGTGCGTGTTTTACTTACAGATGTAGAGGGCAATAAGAGTGTTGTTGTTGTTGTTGTTAAATGCTGTTGAGACAATTCTGACTCATAGCGGCTCTGTAAAGCAGCAGCTGGTTAAATTGGAGAAATAAGCTCACTATGTTACAAATACTGTTAAATCTGTGGAATAAGATACTATCAGCCCGGAGGTCAGTGCACACAGGAAAAGACAAGTCTCACGTCCAATGTTGTTTTGTCTTCATATAAATTCTGAGTTTTCCTAGAATGCAAATGTAGACCAATTTTTTTTTTTTTTTTGCCTACATTTGGATGCTTTTACCTTGCTATGCAGAATATTTGTGATGTTTTAGGACTCAGTGGTATTTGCAGATGTGGCCGTGGAATTTTCCCAGGAAGAGTGGGCTCTGCTGAATTTTTCTCAGAGGAATCTTTACAGAGATGTGATGTTAGAAACCCTGAATTACTTGGACTCAGGTAAGGATGTTTTAATTTTCAAGTTTTCTTCTTTTGTCATTAAATATATTGTTGTCTTTCACTTGGAGATTTGTGTTCATGAGTCGAAGACATTGATAAATGGGGTACGTGTTTTCACCTCATGGAGCTCAGACTCCAGTGGTTTCGTGATAAAAGTAAACATCTTTAAGTGTCAAACTCTATTTCTCTTGATCTAAATGGTTTGAGATTCATTAATTGTTATAAGTGGGAATATTTGTCATGAGAGTCATTTTTGAGGCAATGAAAGATTTCTGGTTTCAGACCTCATTCGAGTTTTATTGAACGTGATTACTTTTACACCCAGAATCTTAGAACTGTCCATCTGAATTAGGATGAAAATAAAGTTGGTCTCTGTGAGGTGGAGGCTCAGAATGTCCCATATGTCCTGTCTTTCACAATTACTGTACCTCTCCATTATCTCTGATCCCAACAACTGTTCTCCTCTCAGTATTTTCCCTCGTGTCTTGTTGTTGTTGTTGTT